AGGAAGGAAGGAAGGAAGGAAGGAAGGAAGGAAGGAAGGAAGGAAGGCAGACAGGCAGGCATATGATGAGAATGGGGATGACCGATTAAGAGAAATCCCCTAACCCCGCTGCTGGTGGCCATCCCACTTCCAGCTCTCTGACTCCTGGGTCCCCAACCACAGCCTCCCTTAGGCTGTCAACTGAACCTTCCACTGGTAACAGTGGGATGTCTCCTCTCTTGGACTACCTCTATGTGTGGTCATTCCCCACTGGGATCATCCTCTGATCTGACTTTTTCTTCTTGTGATTTCTCCCAATTTAAATCCTGTGTCCATCCAGGTCTCAAAGGTCACAAGCTCCCCAGGCCACAGCAAGCAACTCCCCTGAGCTGTCCGAAGTGTCCTGGCCAACCGATTCCGGAACCCCTTCCCCACTCAGCACTGAGGAACAAAGTACCTCTCCGCCACTCGCTGTAATTGACAGCGGGGACTCCGTGGTAGCCAAGTAAGTGCCAGAACTCCTGGCAGGGAAGGGAGATCTGGGGCTAAAGGGAGGAAGAAGGCATCCCATAATGACCGTGAGACAGAGCTGTTTACGCAGTACTGTTTTAGGACCAGGCACTTCATGTGTGTTATTGAGGGGTCTGGAGTTTGCCTGAGTTCAGATCCTGCCTTGGTTAATTATTCTCTGCATTGCTTTGGTCTCAGTTTCCTTGAATTGGGAATGCTAACCACATACATACACTGTGACTGTTCTGAATCATTGGTTCCTCCACATAATGATCTATGAGAACACACATAGTAGAGTGAGTCCTTGGGTCTGAAAGATAGAGGTCCTACATTAGTTATGGCTTAACCCTGATAATATTTATATCTCCCTCATTTAGTGGTCCAGGCAGAAGCAACCAGGGCTGACATTGCAGCTGTTATTTAAGGTGTTAGGAACATAGGTTCCATCTGTCTTATTGTTCTGTCTCTAAGCTGTTGTCCTTTCCTTCATAGGCCAAAATGGTCATCACTGACATTTCTCTTCCAGATTCATACTCCCTTATTCTTTGTTGCTCAAGAGCCAGTCTGGCTGGTGATGTAGCTCAGTTGTTAGCGCATCTGTCTAACATGCACAGGACCCTTGGTTTGATTCCCAAAGCCGCATAAAATGAGGCATAGTGATGTATGCCTATAGACTCAGCATTTCGGAGGTACGGCAACTGGGCCATGGTGGTGCACACCTTTAATCCCAGCACTCAGAAGGCAGTGCAGGTGGATCTCTGTGAGTTCAAGGCCAACCTGGTCTATAAGAGCTAGTTCTAGGACAGGCTCCAAAGCTACAGTGAAACCCTGTCTTGAAAAATCAAAAAAATAAAAAAATTTAAAAAAAAGGTAGTGGCAGAAGGATCAGAAGTTCTAGGTCACTCTCAGCTACATAGTAAATTCAAAACCAGCCTAAGTAAATGATACCTTGTATAAAAACAAACAAAAATGAAGGGGCCAGCAAGATGGCTCAGTGGGTAACTGGTAACCTCAGTTTGATCCCAAGACTCCACATGAAGATGGAAAGGGAGGACTGACTCCACAAAGGTGTCTTCTGTGATGTGTGTGCTATCCCATACACATCAAGTGTGAAAAGGCACACATACAGCCAGGCAGTAGTCGCACACACCTTCAACCCCAGCACTCAGGAGGCAGAGGCAGGGGATCTCTGAGTTCGAGACCAGTCCGCTAAGTTCCAGAACAGCCAGGATTACCCAAAGAAACCCTGTCTCAAAAAAACCAAAAGAGGAAAAAAAAATTAAAGAAAATTAATATTGGGCTGGCTATATGACTCAGTGGATAAAGGTGCTTGCCACCAAGCCTGACAACCCCGAGGTCAATCCCTGGGACCCACCTCCACATGTGCACTGTAGCATGCCTGCTCAAGTGTGCACCCATGCCTGTAAGGGTGTATGTACACACAGAGAAAAAAATGTAAAAAAATTAAAATTACATTAATATATAAGAAAGAGAAATGGATTTTTAAAACCAAGTGCTTGCTTTTGGTAGATTTGAAGAGAGCAGTTATTTATTTATTTAATTTATTTCGTCTTTTTGAGACAGGGTTTCTCTGTATAGTCCTGCTTCTCCTGAACTCACTCTGTAGACTAGGCTGGCCTCGAACTCAGAGATCTGCCTGCCTCTGCCCACCCTCCCCTCCCCTCCCAAGTGCTGGGATTAAAGGCCTGCGCCACCACTGCTGGCAAAAGGAGTTTTTCTTATCCGGGCCTCTGAGCACCACTTTCCGTGGTGCTTGACAAACAGAAGAACACTGTGCCTGCTGCTGTTGATATAATTACTGTCATGACCACGTGGCTCCCTTAGTCCCCCTGCTTCTCACCCTTGGATGCTCACAGGTACATAAACAGGTTCCGCCAAGCTCAGCCTACAAGCCGAGAGGAACGCCAGCCTGCAGGCCCGACCCCAGCTGACTTTTGGTGGCTGCAGCCCAAGTCGTCAGACATCAGCAGTCACCTTGCAGCAGGTACCTAAAACCTCTCCTGTTAGGTGCCCAGCAGCAATCGCTCTTCCTGGACCCTGTGATCAGCTGAGGTTTCCCTGCAGGAGCCAGTGAACCCAAAGGAAGATCCCCAACGACAGGTCCATCTCTCGCTGGGATGTGCAGCGCATCTCTGGCTTCAGCTCCTCTTCAGAAAGTAAAGCAGGTGACACTGCTACCTTCTCCCTCTCTTGCGTGTCTGAGTTGACAGCACCAGCCCTGGGTTGGAATTAGAGACAATGACCACCTTAAGGAACCCTAAACGAGAAAGGGTTTCTGGGCACAGAGATGTGGCTCATTTGGGAACATACTTGCCCAGCAGACAGAAAGTCCAGTGCCACATAAAAGTAGGCCTGGTGGTACAGAGCGGTAGTCTCAGCACCAGGATCAGAGGCTTAAGTTACCCTCAGCTATGTATGGAGTTGGAGGCCACCCTGGGCTATATGATATTCTAGCTTAAGTAAGTGAACAAATAAATAAAATAATCTTTAGCAGAAGGATTTGCTAGTTGAATGAGATTTTGAACGCTAAAAGTAGATGTGCGTGCGCATGCATATTCGTTATTGTCCTGCTGCTGTGACCAACACTGACGGAAGCCAAGGAGAAAAGGTATATTTGCTCAGTTTTAGGGGATTCCAGTCCAGCATGGCAGGGGTATGTGGTGAGATTGAATTTAGAGCCTTTGGAAGAGCAGTCAGTTATCTTAATGGCTGAGCCATCTCTCTAGCCCTACATTTCTGTCTTTTTTTTTTTTTCTTCATGCACCTTCAAGTTAATCACTGAACTGTTCAATAGAATCTTTTGATTAGGCAGGTCTGGTCAGGGAGATAGGTTCAATCTTTCCTTTTTAAATTTTAAATGTAGTATGTGTATGAGTCTCTCTCTCTCTCTCTCTCTCTCTCTCTCTGTGTGTGTGTGTGTGTGTGGAGGTCAGAGGACAACGCCCAGGAGTTGGTTCTCTTCTTTCACTTCTGTGTAGGTTCTAGGGATCAAACTCAGGTCTGTGACCTGTACAGAAAGCACTTTTCCCACTAAGCACTCAATACTGGCATGGCTGAGGTAGTAGGATCATGAGTTCAAGGCCAGCCCGGGTTACAGAAACCCCTAGAGCGAAAGAGGGAAAGTAACCCTCTCTTCCTCAAGAGAAGCAGATTTAAGCTTCCCTGCCACGAGAAAGTGCCAGGTAGAATGCAAGTCCCCAGACCTTCTGTCGAGAGCCCCTTTCCCAGCAGCCTTTGGCACAGGGACTAGCTTCAGGCCCCTCTCGCTGCGCAGAGCCTGAACACCTGGAACTCATCTTTGCTGGACTTGGAGACACTGAGCCTACAAAGCAGAGCGGCCAAGCTCCTGAAGCGCAGGTGATGCCTCTCCCCGTCCTCTCCCTGTCCTCTCCCTCGCCAGTTGTGCCCGGCTCACCGCTCCCCTCACCGGTGCTTTCTCCGTGCAGCAAGGCCTCCCTCTCCTCCTCCTCCTCCCTCAGTCCCAGTGATGCCAGCAGCTCCTCCTTCCCCATCAGCTCCAATGGCCTCTCTCCCTGCTCTGTGACCTTCAATCCAGACTCCAACAAGAGGTCTAGTCCCAAAGAATCTGTGTCGGGAGGTAAGGACTGATGGTAGCCAGGTTCAAATCCGCTTACTAGCTGTGTGACTTTGGCCTCTCTGGGCCTTGGTTAACTGGGATACAGGAATAGTAACTGGACCCCTCACTCACAGGTATTGTGGAGATGAACTGAGCTCATGAGTACCTGGGAGGCCCTTCACACAGGCCTGTCAACAGTAGCTGTCAGGGCTGTGACAGGCCTACCGTACTCACTGCTATTATGACAATAAGCTCCAAAATCGGAAGGCTTATTGCGGAGTAAAGGAAATATCCACACTTCATTGGTTCTGGTTTTCTTTCTTTGAACCAGGCTCTTCCTGTGCTGCCTGAGCTGGCTTGGAACTCACGTGCAGCTCCTGCCTCAGCCTCCCTAGTACTGGGATTCCAGGAAGGCACCACCAGGCCTATCATGCTTTTTTGTATTGTTAATATCACAGTGAACCATATGGAACTTTTTGGTAGGCAAAAAAAAAAACAACAACAACAACAAAAAAAAAACAAAGTTGAATATCTGGCAATTCCACACGGCTTGGCTAAGTCTCAGTGTGCTCAGGACTGGGGTCCCAAGCCCATGTCCATCCCGCACATATCTATGCAGCTTAGCTACAGCATGAGGACTGTTGAGGGTGAAAAACTTCAGCGAGAAGCTGGGAATGATGGTGCCTGCTGCGGTAGCTCACCGTCAGTCTCAGCTCCATACTGAGTCTGAGGCCAGCACAGGCTAGGTGATACTCTCACAAGCTAGAGGGACTGGGTGTCTCAGAGAGCCTGCCTTCAGCAAAGATCTCAGCAGATCTCTGAGTCGCAGGTCAGCCTGGTACACAGGGAGTTCCAGGCCAGTGACAGAGCAGTGTGGTATAGGTGGGAGAGGCCTGGTGAAGCTGTCAGGAGTCTTCTGACCATGGTGGGTACAGAGGGTACGTTGACTTTTGGGACAATAATAGGGTCCTGCAGGCGCTCTGAGCACCTGGAGCAGGAGGGAGGGAAGGGATCAAGTTCTAAAGAATCACAGAAGGAATAAAAACAAATAAGGAAAGCTACAAGTACAGTCACAAACTGGGTGTAATGACACTTGTCTATAAGCCCAGGCTGAGGCAGGAGGATTGCCAGTTTGAACCCAGCCCAGGCTGCAAAGCAAAATCGCAAGAGAAAGAGAATCCCAGGCCTCTAACTCTGCTCTGCCCTTCTCATTTCACAAAGGAATTGTGTGGTGTGTGGGCTGCCTGTCAGAAGCGTGGGCTTCAGGTGTCGCCCTGTGCCCCCTCAGCCCTTTCCTTTCTACTCCCCCTACAGCAGTCCCAGAACCGTCCCAGGCCCGCATCCCTGTTCCCCGCACAGCCTCCTCCCAGGCAACCCTTCAGGCCTCACAGGCAACCCTTCAGCCCGAGGAAGACATTTTATATCAATGGCGGCAGCGGCGGAAGCTTGAGCAGGCTCGAGGAGCTGAGGGTGATGGAACCTGGGTGTTGCCTCGGACCCCAGCCCTCACCACTCAGGTGAGTTGAAGGCGTGAGCCCAACAGTGGTAAGGGACACCTAAAGGTGACAGAGGACCTTCCACCTCTTCCTTCCTGTCTCAGATACCTCTTTCTGTCTACAGACTCCTCCTGCCCCTGCAGTGAATCTTGGTTCTCTGGGGACCCAGCCTAACTGTGCTCCACCATGGGGCAATGTGGCCCAGCCTCCTCCCCCACAGGCCTTCTATGTGGAGAGGCCTCCTCTTCCGGGGCCCTCTCCACACATCTGGACCCCCAGCCCTCACGGGTTCCTCTGGGCCCCACAGGCCAATCCGTGGGTATCTCTCGGGATGGTTCCTACCACACTGCTAGCCTCTCCCGCTGCTCCGGTGGCCTCCTTCCCAGCACCCGCTACTGCCACTCCAGCTGCCCCAGCCCCCATCCCTACTCCCCAAGTCTCCATCCCAGTGCCCCCAGCGTCCACTCCACCTCCCTGGGCTTCCACCCTTCCACTACAGGACACCCCTCAGGAGCCAACTACCACTGAGCTGAGTAGTTCTGCCCAGCCCAAGAAACTCAAACCTCGGAGGGCCAGCGCTTCATCGCGCCGGGAGACAGCTCAGCCAGACACTGCAACAGCTTTCGAGAGTCCCTGTTTGCAGCTCAGGGGTGCCCTGGGTCAGGTAGTGACAGCTCGGCTGTTCCCAGACAGTCTGGACGACACGGCCCCTAGCTTAGAGAGCCCATCTCCACCTGAGCCAGAATCTCAGGAAGTCAGGCCCACACCCCCTCAAGCCAAGGGTCTGCCCCCTCCATTGGAGTCTCAGCGTGGGTCCAAGACAGAGTCCCGCAAAGACGCGGCCGCATCCTTCACGGGCCGGCCAGTGCTTCGGAAAAGTAAAGTCACCCTCTCAACGGAAGCTAGGGATCCACAGCCGGCTACAACCCCAAAGGCATCCAGAAGACTGGAGAAGGTCCAGTTGCCTGATTTTAAGGCGGGAGCTGGTGATGCCTTGACCCCTGCCCCAGCTGCTTCAGGCCACGCCCCCTCCGAGGACTTGCTATCTCAGGCCACCCGACTTCTGCAGGCTGCGGAAGGTGAGGGACCCAGAGCCCTTGGGTATCTTTTTTTTTTTTCCAATTCATTTTTATTTTCTGTGCATGTATGTCTGCGAGGGTGTCAGAAGCCCTGGAACTGGAGTTACAGACAGCTGTGAGCTGTCACGTGGGGACTGGGAATTGAGCCCAGGTCCTCTAGAAGAGCCAGTGCTCTTAACCTTTGGACCATCCCTCCAACCCGGCCCTTGGGTGTCTCGATGGTGCTCCCAAACCCTGTGTCCACCTTCTGGAGCTCAGCCCTTTACTCCTCAGACTCTGATGGCAGCGAGTTTCAGGAAGACCCTGTGTTGCGGGTGCTAAGAGCTCAGAGGGCGGAGCTCCGGCAGCAGAAAAGGTGAGCACTCCCCACCAGGATCTTCCATCCTGAGCCCCTGAGTCCTATGACAACCCTACTGGGTGTCTGCCTCTTCCAAGGCCCTTTCCAGAACCCCACCCACAACTCCAGATTCTTACCACGAGTACACACCCCAGCCTCTACCTCCCCAACTTTTCTCCAGGAAAGTGGATGCCCAATTATCTCTTCTTTTGGACCACACTGAAGACCCAGGATCTTCCTCTCCACCAACCAGCCCACCTCCCAGGTCCCCAAGAATGCGATTGAGGAGAGAAGGAGGCTCCCTTGAAGCCAGGCGACTTTAATTGTAAAAATTCCGTTTTTCCTGGGCTGGAGAGATAATGTACTTGCAAGTGTGAAGGCCCGAATTTAGATCTCCAGAACCCACATAAAGAAAACTGACCGGCCAACTGGCCCACCGAGACTGGGTCTCAAACAAGGTGGAAGCTGACAACCTGTATTCAGAATCCTTTGACCTCCTCCGTACACGAGCTGTGGGGGACACACACACACACACATACTAAGAATAAAGTTGTCTCCAGTTAACATTTTTCCAGTTCACTGTTAATTTCTAAGAAATGGATTGTTGTAGAATGGCTGATTGTGCAAATAAGAAAATGTGACCTCTTTCCTATTTCCCCTGACCAACAAAACAAAATTTCCTTTCTGATTGTGTGTATGTGTGTCTGGTGTGTAAGCCCATGGTTCTAGGTAATATTGGGGACCTGACTCCTGTAACTCAGAAGTGGATTTTTATGTCTCAGGTGGGGACAAAGGCACTGTCACTTGGTCTTGAAAACATCAGTGTTAGTAAACAACAGTACTTCTTACATTGTGCTGGCATCCCTCCCTCTCTGGTCCACACCTCCATCCATAGGTCCTCAAATTCCTTGTCTTTCCCCTAAGTTTGTTCCCCTTCTCCACTTTCTTCAGCTGTGTTCTCCCTGCTCAGCACCAAGCCTGACTCCCCCTTCCCACACATAGTCACCTGGCAGATCCAAACATTTTGTTCTCTTCAAATCCCTCAGAATCCAACTCCTTTCCACTGTCCTCCCCTCGGTCTGCACTGCCTCCTACCTGCCATCGCTGTGAACACATCTGCCCACTCTCTGATGCACTTGCCACCCAGGGACAGCCTTTCTCTTCTCTTTGAAACTGAGCCCTTCAACACACTGCACACAATCAAAGGGATGCAGCTTCAGTTAAGAAAGTGGGTACCGTCCACCTGTTTTCCTTCTCCTTCTCCTTTCTCTGACTTAGAGATGCTTTGGAGAGCATGCAGTAACATCTGATTGCCGGATGTAGTGACACACACCTGTAGCCCTAGGAGTCTGAGGCAGGAGAGTCTCAACTTTGAGGACATCCTCACAGGGAGACCCTGTGTTGAAAAATAAATCAGTTGTTACAGGGACGAAACACATGGATGTCCCCACTGAGCTCAGTTTGAGTTTGGTGAATTTCATTGTGTGTGGCTGTTCTGTTTTTCTGCTTTTTTCTTTATTGTATTGGTCTCTCTTGTTTTTTTTTTATGTTTGTTTGTTTGTTTGTTTACTTTGTTTTTTTTCAAAGACAGGGTTTCTCTGAAGCTTTGGAGCCTGTCCTGGAACTCACTTGGTAGACAAGGATGGTCTTGAGCTCACAGAGATCTGCCTGTCTCTGCCCCTCAAGTGAGTGCAGGGATTAAAGGTGTGTGCCACCACTGACTGACTCTTCTTCTTTTTTTATTAAATAATTTATTTTTATTTTATTTTGCATTGATGTTTTGCCTGCATGTCTGTGTGAAGGTGTCAGATCTTGAAGTTACAGAACAGTTGTCAGCTGCCATGTGGGTGCTGGGAATTGAACCCAGGTCCTCTGGAAGAGCAGTCAGTGCTCTCAACTGCTGAGCCATCTCTCCAGCCCGTTTTACTTTTTTTTATTGCTGTAATAAAACACCATGACCAAGACAATTTATAAAAGAAAATGTGGATTTGGGACTTACAGTTGCAGAGGGTTCGAGTACATTACGGTTCTGATGGGGAGCAAGGCAGCAGGCAGGCATGGCTGGAGTAGCTGAGAGCTCACAACCTGAGACATGAAACAAGGCAGAGACAGAGAGAAATGGAAATAGGAGTCTTTTGAAACCTCAAAGCTTACCTCCCAGTAACACACTCCTTCCAACAAGGCCACATCTAATCCTTCCAGAGGACCAGGGTTCAATTCCCAGCACCCACATGGCAGCTCACAGCTGTCTGTAACTCCAGTTCCAGGGGATCCAACACCCTCACACAGACATACAAGCCAGCAAAACAGCAATGCTCATAAAATAAAAAAATATTTTAAAAAACCCAGATGTACATAGGGAAATCCAGGCCAGCCAAGGATACATAGTGAAACTCTGTCTCAAAAAAACAAAACAAAATTCATGTTGAAATACTTAGATGCCAATACTGCGTTTTTATAAATGAAATCAGGTATATTCCAGGATGGTATGGTTGTAATAATTTCTTTGGCTTTTGAAACAGGGTCTTATATAGCCCAGGCTCCAACTCATTATGTAGACAAACCTGACTTTGAACTTCTGAATCTCTTGCTTTCACATCCGAGGTGCTGAGATTGCAGGTGTGTGCCACCACACTCAGCCTTATTTGTTTTGAAATGCACCCAAAGATGAGTTGGATGGGTTAATAAAGTAATAAGCAATGTGAGATAAAATGTTAATGGTCAGGTCTATTTGGTGGATATGTGGGTGTCAACTTGCCATATCTTAGAAACTTTTAATAAATAAAATGATGGCAACTATACGGTCAGGGTTGTTTTGATATATATATCTATAAAGAGAAAAGGGGTGAATTTCTAATAGGCAGTTCTCTATGTCAGAAACAAGGTAAATATGTGTTTTCAGTCTTTTTAACAAACCACACATTTGATTTATCAAGAAGGAAGTGGCTGTTTAGACACAAGGAACAATAAAAGATGTTATAATAACATCCTGGTCAAGTAGAGAGGGAGAAGTAGAAGGATGCCTGAAGAAGTTTGGGCTTCCATGTGGGCAAGCCTGTCCTTTTTTTCCTTGTTTTGATTATTGGTGTATGTTGTGATCCAGCTGCCCTCACTCCCCCTGACTGACAGGGGAACTTCCTTGTGGTCTGTAATCGACAAGGATGCTTGTGTTCTTCCTGGCTGGTGGGTCTCCACAGAAGCAGTAGAGGTGTAAAAGGCTTTAACTGGGCAAACTAAAGGTTGCTGTTCTTCCACCTGAAAAGAAGCCTCCGTGTCTCAATCCCGGCACTCCTACT